GTTAAGTTTGGACATATTTTTGCGTTACCTACGAAATGGATGGCCCCTATCCTGCCGGCCATCTTTCGGGCCCCTCCATTGTACGATTGAAGTGTATTCTTAGGTTTTTTTTTTCGGTAAAGTCACGTAGGTAAAACATTAAAATTAATAAAAGTAAAATAAAAGAAAAATCACGACGTTTCGGAGGCAACACAAGCTTCCGTCTTCAGGTGGAACCGTCACAGCCACGACAGCTGTAGCAAGTGCTGTATCCACCTGAAGACGGAAGCTTGTGTTGCCTCCGAAACGTCGTGATTTTTTATTTTATTTTACTTTTATTAATTTTAATGTTTTACCTACCTGGTGACTTTACCGAAAAAAAAAAAAAACCTAAGAATATGAATCCTTGCAGTCACGAAAGCTTCAAATCTAGATTGAAGTGTAACTTTGCCGACCCGCCCAGACTGGACATCTGTGTGTGTGAGAGAGAGAGAGAGAGAGAAAAACACAAAGAGCTTCATGGCTCGTCGGATTCCTTGCTGCATTCTAAATAAAGATTCTGATTGAGTAGCAGCTGAGCGGCAGTCGCGTGACCCTGGGAATATGTATTGGGGGTGTTCATGGCGATGGCAACATTCATGACTTTGCCACGGCAGCGAAAGCGAGGGGGGTGGGGGGGGGATGTTTGTTTTGGGGAAATTAGTGCAGTGAGTGATGCATGTTTGATTAATGCACCTTGAGTCGAATAGCTTTGCTAGTGTTTTACATAGGTCTGTAGATACATACATCTGTTTGATGACTTCATAAAAAAAAATTTGGTGAAATATTACGAGGCCCTTCCCCCCTATTAGCCTGAGGACACTAGTACCAACTTAATCCGGCCCGGACTTAAGGGGGCATCGACCGTAAACAAAGTCAAGCAGGACACTCATGAAGGCTCGGTAAACAAATACTGAACATGATAGCAACGCGAGTTTACGGTGATGGTGATGGTGGGGTGGGGTGTAAATCGTAAATAATCTCCGGCACGAGCTTGTCAACTCATCATCGTCGGGGCAAATTGAGCGCGTGATTGTGGGCGCCTTACAAGCGGCGCCTGACTGGGCATAGGACGGGTGCCATTGCCTCCGTCATAGCCCGCAGTTGCTCGTGTTTCCCCAGGATCCCCGAATCTCGACCACGGCACAGCCCACCATTCACCACGGGGTCTTCCAGACAACTTAGTTTTAACAAACAAACAAACAAAAATACGAGCACCCTCCCCGTCTAGTGTTGGCCCCCTCTCTCATGACCCACTTCCTCCCCAATGGCCCATCCAGGATCCCTCCATCCCTAGATACCCCCCCCCCTCTAGTAATTCCTGTACCCACGAACCTCCCTCCCCCATACCACATCCCTATTTCACCATATCACCTTTAGCTACCCTCATTGTACCACTCGTACTACTCATTTTGTTTAAGCGCCTTGGACAAAGGCGCTGTATGGATATATAAGACGAGATAATAATCTCACAAACACGACTGCAGTAGCAGTAAGCCCCGGGGGGCCCAAGGAAGGTCGTCATCGCCACGCCCCCCCCCCCTCCTCGCACCGACTCGAGCATCTCACAACGTGAGCCCGGCGACACTGCGGCAGCCGAAGCCGCAGTTGATGTGGCCATTAAAATGTTGACTTCCATTAGGTTACAATTTCGTGCTTTTGCACTCAGCGTTGCATGTAATGGATGATTATATTTATGCACGAGCCTTTTGCCCGTCCAAGGACGGGTGTATTGCAGTAAATCTGAAACTTGCAAGGGAAAAGCAGAGCGAGACGTGATATATTCATTGCATCCACTCGTGTGCAATTTGTAAGGGATCTATTTCATTTTAAGGTTATAATCCCTTGTTCATCATCATGACGTCCTTTTTACTCAGATGTCTCAACAGCGCTACGGAGATCGCGTGACGTGAGGGTTCTGCCTTGTGAGTGAGGGCTGTGAGTTGACGCCGAGGAGGGGATAGGAGGCGCCTCGCCCTCCATGTCCATTTGGAGGACGTCACGTGCTCATGAATATTAATGCAGGGGGGGGATCCATGTGCAGGATGTAACCTGTTCATGATTATTAATGAGGGGGGCTGGTCGACGTGGAGTGACGTCACGAGCGTTGCACACAGACATTCTTGGCCCATCGTGGTAGTAATAATGGGGGGGGGGGTCCATGTGGAGGACGTCACCTGCTCATGATTATTAATGAGGGGGGCTGGTCGACGTGGAGTGACGTCACGAGCGTTGCACACAGACATTCTTGGCCCATCGTGGTAGTAATAATGGGGGGGGGGGTCCATGTGCAGGATGTAACCTGTTCATGATTATTAATGAGGGGGGCTGGTCGACGTGGAGTGACGTCACGAGCGTTGCACACAGACATTCTTGGCCCATCGTGGTAGTAATAATGGGGGGGGGGTCCATGTGGAGGACGTCACCTGCTCATGATTATTAATGAGGGGGGCTGGTCAAAGTGGAGTGACGTCACGAGCCCTAAGGACAGCCACTGCTGGGTGATTATAGTCGGTATGTGTGTGTGTGTGTATCCACTCGTGTGTCTGCAGTCGTTTTTTTGTAATATTCAACGCACGTCACAGCACAACACGATTCGACATTGCGTTACATGTAATAGGTGGTTCTTTAAAAACAAACCTGACGCGTGAGCACGTTTTGAAACATACATGCGCTTGTGTGTGTCTCAAGTCAGCGTGTGTTCCAATCCATGGGCCTCCCCTAGGCCGACTCAGCCTGAAACGAGTACCTGGTGCGGTGTGTAAATACCAGCACTGGGAAGACAAAGGCGGCCCGGCGTGGTGTTGGCCACCCATCCCCTCGTGTGCCCTTCTGGCCTTAATAGGCGCTACTCGCTAACAGCACTTGCCCCAGCAGCATGGTAAAGACTATAGGGGGGACCTTTGTCTTTGTGAGCGGGAGAGGTTTGCTCCAACTTTGATGTCTGTGCAAGTGTCACGTGACCCCTTCTCTTAACACCGGAAGCGAACTCCTTGGATTTCAACGTTTAATATTTTATTATTATTATTCTTTAAAAGACTTATATTTACATCGCAGACGCCAACGATAAATGAAAGGAATATTACGCGACAATCTTTACACCCCCCAACCCGCCACAAAAAAACAACAGAAGTTCACAGTATAAGCACACGCTCGCGGTGGTGGCGGCGAGTGTTTTGCATCCAGACGCATGCGGGCAGCGGGTTCACGATCATGGGACGCGTGGAGTGTGTGGAGAGCGGTGGCGCAGCGGTTAGCGCGCTCCGCTACGATCCCGGCGGCCACTCCCGCTCACGGCAAAACACCACCCGGTGACGATTGTCTGAGAACCCGGTCCTGGGCTCTCCCCGGAGTCGCCTCGGCACTCGAGCGAGTTGCCTTGTGCGCGCTGTGTAAACATCGACCGGCGCGAGGGAGACAAAGGCGGCCGGGCGAGGTGCTAGCCACCCACCTCTGTGCCGTTTCGGCCCTTCATCAGGCGCTCGCTAACAGCACTTGCCCCAACAAGCACTCTGCTGAGGCCTCTACGGGGGAGGGGACGGGTTCTTTGTCTTGTGCGGGAGGGGGGGGGCATACACAAGAGCACATCCGGCATGTACACGAAGGGTCGAGCGTGGGAGGAGGGGTCGGCTACGCGGGGGTGGAGAATTGTCATCCCACTCACCCCTCCTGCAACTACCCCACCCACCCACGGCTCTCGTCACCCACGTTCCGCCCCCCCGCCCCCCATTCTCACCTCCGGCCCCTGCCCAGCACCTCCGCATGCTGCATGCGTCTGCAACGAGCACCCAAACACGGCCATCGAAATGCGAGAGGAGGAAAACGCACCACCCCGAATCGTGTGTGCGCTCGTGTGTGCGCGTGTGCGCGTGCTCGTGTGTGTGTGTGTGCGCTCGTGTGTGCGCTCGTGTGTGTGCGTGTGTGCGCTCGTGTGTGCGTTCATTCAGCAGCCTGCTGGGGCTACACGCGGGGCATCCGTTGACATCGTGTGCGCACTCTGCGTTCCTTTGGGGGGCAAGTGCTGATGAAGGCCGACACGAGGGGAGGGGGGGGTCTTTGGGGTGCGGAGTGACCACCACCACCAACCACCACCACCACCAACCACCACCAACCACCACCACCACCACCACGCAGGTCGCCTTTGTCTCCTTAGTTCGGTGGGGAGCGGTGGTGCAGTGGTTAGCGCTGCGCCGCGCTACGAACCACACCCAACCACAGGTCGCTTCCCACTCACGGCCATCAACACCGGCGACGATTATCTGAACCGGTCCGGGGCCTTCCCCTAGGTCGACTCAGCCTCAAGTGTGTACCTGGTGCGGTGTGTAAACATCGGTACTAGGGGAGACAAAGGCGGCCGGGCGTGGTGCTGGCCACCCACCCAGCCCCTCGTGCGCCACAGTGCCGGTAGCCTTCACAGGTGCTGCTCGCTAAGAGCACTTGCCCCTACAGCCTGTTAGAGGCTACACGGGGGAGCTTTGTCTGTGTCTACCTTCATAGGTGCTGCTGCTACTCGCTACTCACAGCACTTGCCCCAACAGTCTGTGAAGGCGACACGGGGCAGGATGGTTGGGTCGTCGATTGTTTTCGCCACCCGTCCCCTTCTTGGCTATCTGTCGTGATAGTACACCTGTAGTCGTGTCTGTCGGCAAGCGCTTCCTCTCTCTCTCTCCCTCTCTCGCCTTACTCAAATATAGCCGAAACGCCATTTTCGTTGTTATTTTATTTTAATATCCATCATATATATATGTGTGTGTGTGTGGCATCGAGCACACTGTAAATAAAACATACCGTGAAACGAGCAGCGACGGCAATGTACAATGGGCGAACAGCGAGCTCGCCCCAAGATCCGCAGCATTCCCGCGAGCATTCGGGATTTGGGACAATTATTATAATTGTATATATGCACAGTAATAACACCCCCCAACCTCTCCGATTCACGTCTCTGCCCCCCCCCCCCCACTCTTTACCCCCCCACCCCCCGCACTCAACGTCCCAGACAGCGTCCTGTCTCGATATCCGTCGCCTCATCATCATTCGCCTCCTCCAAGCCGTCTCGACAGAACGTCGTCGCAGCCTTTCGGGAACGCATCCCCGACGCAAACAGGGGTATCACTATCTCTCTCTCTCGAGTAAAGTCCATCCAACCCGCCTCTCGCAGTGGACACGACGGACGGATGTGTGTGAGCCTGGCTCGCAGACTTTCAGCAACGCAGATCTTTGCCCCGATCCTTGTTCATCTTCTTCATCTTCATGCGCCGGTTCTGGAACCAGATCTTCACCTGGCGCTCGGTGAGCGTGAGCACGCGGGCGACCTCGTAGCGCCGGTCGCGCGTCAGGTACATGTTGAAGAGGAACTCCTTCTCGAGCTCCAGGGTCTGGTACTTGGTGTAGGGGCAGCGCTTCTTGCGGGAGGGCCGCGCGTGGATCCAGTTGGCGGTGGGGTTGCCTGCGGGTGCGGCACACGCGACAACGCGGCAGCTTTCCACGCGCGCAGCGACATCGGCAGGCACCGCACGTACATACAGAGATAACCCCCCCCCGCCCTCCCCCCTCGTATCGGGGGCAAGTGCTGCTATCGAGTAGCCACCTGTGAGGCCGCCACGGCACGCGAGGAGAGGGTGTGGGTGGCCAACACCACGCGCGGCCACTGCAACACAAAAGATAAAGATCCCCCCCACCCCGTGTAGGCTCAACGGACCGATGGGGCAAGTGCTGTTCGCGAGTAGCATCTGTGAAGGCCGGCACCACCGGCACGGCGCACGAGGAGGCGCGTGGCCTTTGGTTCGCCAGGTGCTCATTTAATGCTGAGTCGACCTAGGCGAGGCCCGAGAGGGGTTCAAATCGTCGTGTAGGGTGGGAATTGAACTCGGGTCGCCGGGTTCGTAGCCGCGGTGCGCTCACCACGACACCCCCGCCTTCCCCGCAGACGTAGATGCATGCACAGCAACGCAGACACACGCAGAGACAGGCATACACGGATAGGATCGCAGAACACAGGGAAACACTGACACACCACAACAACAACAACAGCAGCAGCAGCCGCCATTTGCCACGACCTGGCGGTGACGTTGCCATGCGCGCTTGTGCCAGGCCAGGAGACACGCAGACAGACACACACACAGACAGACACACACACGCAGACACACACACGCAGACAGACACACACACACAGACACACACACATACACAGACAGACACACACACCGCTTACACACAGACACACACACCGCTTACACACAGACACACACACCGCTTACACGCAGACACACACGTAAACCGCTCACACACAGACACACACACACACCGCTTACACACAGACACACATGTACACCACTTACACACAGACACACACACCGCTTACACACAGACACACATGTACACCACTTACACACACACACCGCTTACACACAGACACACACACCGCTTACACACAGACACACACGTACACCGCTTACACACAGACACACGCACCGCTTACACACAGACACAAACACCGCTTACACACACACACTGCTTACACACAGACACACACGTACACCGCTTACACACAGACACACACACACCGCTTACACACAGACACACACACCGCTCACACACAGACACACACACCGCTTACACACAGACACACACACACCGCTTACACACAGACACACACACCGCTCACACACAGACACACACACCGCTTACACACAGACACACACACCGCTTACACACAGACACACACACCGCGTACACACAGACACACACACCCGCTTACACACAGACACACACACACCGCTTACACACAGACACACACACCGCTTACACACAGACACACGTACACCGCTTACACACAGACACACGTACACCGCTTACACACAGACACACGTACACCGCTTACACACAGACACACACACACACCGCTTACACACAGACACACGCACCGCTTACACACAGACACACGTACACCGCTTACACACAGACACACGTACACCGCTTACACACAGACACACACACACACCGCTTACACACAGACACACGCATCGCTTACACACAGACACAAACACTGCTTACACACACACACACTGCTTACACACAGACACACACGTACACCGCTTACACACAGACACACACACACCGCTTACACACAGACACACACACCGCTCACACACAGACACACACACCGCTTACACACAGACACACACACCGCTTACACACAGACACACACACCGCGTACACACAGACACACACACCCGCTTACACACAGACACACACACACCGCTTACACACAGACACACACACCGCTTACACACAGACACACGTACACCGCTTACACACAGACACACGTACACCGCTTACACACAGACACACGTACACCGCTTACACACAGACACACGTACACCGCTTACACACAGACACACACACCGCTTACACACAGACACACGTACACCGCTTACACACAGACACACGTACACCGCTTACACACAGACACACACACACACCGCTTACACACAGACACACGCACCGCTTACACACAGACACACGTACACCGCTTACACACAGACACACACACACACCGCTTACACACAGACACACACACCGCGTACACACAGACACACACACCCGCTTACACACAGACACACACACACCGCTTACACACAGACACACACACACACCGCTTACACACAGACACACACACACACCGCTTACACACAGACACACCTACTGCTTACACCCAGACACACACCACTTACACAGAGGCACACACACAGACACCGCTTACACACAGACACACAAATTAGACACACACACACACACAGCTTACACACAGACACACAAATTAGACACAGACACACACAGCTTAGACACAGACACACACACACACCTCTTACACACACCACTTACACACAGGCACACAGACACGGACACCGCTTACACACACACACAGCTTAGACACAAACACAGAGACCACGTGCGCACACAGACACAGAGACAAAGATAGCCCGGATAGCCTGCATCCACTGTCGGGGCAAGAGCTGTTAAGGGGAACCTGTCAAGGTTCGACAGGGCCCGCGATGGGTCAGTGCGACTGTGCCCCTTGACCCAGGCCCGGCTGTCTTTGTCTCCTCAATCAGCTCTGGTTCTTTCGTCTCACAGGCTGAGTGAGGGTGGCTCAGAACCGCTAGATTTTAACTCGCCTCTGATGGTAGCCCTGGTCGGGAATCGAACTCGGAGGGGGGGTGGGTCTACGGGCTCGTGGCCTAGCCAGTGACCTCACCATCACAACCACCGGCCCCAGCTCTCCCCCGCCACACACACAGACAAAGATCCCCCGCTATATGTTTTGACGCAAAACTGCCGTGACTGCGGGAATTCACATTCTTTGGTTAATAAATAAATAAACTCACGACGTTTCGATCGCAACACGAGCGGTCTTCATCAGGCGGAGCGAAAACGACGGCCGCTTTTGTTGCGATCGAATCGTCGTGAGTTTATTTTTTTGTCTTTTGTTCCCATTTGTTGTCTACATTGTGGCGACGTTCATACACCCGCGCCAGGGACACTCATTTGAGGCTGAGTCTACCTAGGGAAGGACCCGGGACCAGGGTCGTACAGGCGTCACCGGTGTTGACCGTGAGTGGGAATCGAATTCGGGATACCGGGTTTGAGGCGCAGTGCGCTACGAATCCCATCACCACCGCCACCACCGCCACCACCACAGTCACACTTGTAAGTACGTACGCAAACACGCAAGTATACACACTCAAGTACACACACGCATACAAAAGTACACACACGTACACATAAGTACACGTAGCACACACACACACGTAACACACACACACATACAAGTAACACACACACACAAGTACACGTAGCACACACACACACGTAGCACACACACGTACACGTAGCACACACACACAAGTACACGTAGCACACACACATACAAGTACACGTAGCACACACACAACACACACACAAATAACACACACAACACACACACAAGTAACACACACAACACACACACAAGTAACACACACAACACACACACACGTAACACACACACACACGTAACACACAAACACACGTAACACACACAACACACACACACAAGTACACTTAGCACACACAGCACACACACAAGTACACGTAGCACACACACAACACACACAAGTAACACACACACATAGCACACACACACACAGCACACACACAAGTACACGTAGCACACACAGCACACACACAAGTACACGTAGCACACACACAACACACACACAAGTACACGTAGCACACACACAAGTACACGTAGCACACACACAGCACACACACAAGTACACGTAGCACACACACAACACACACACAAGTAACACACACAACACACACACACACAAGTACACGTAGCACACACACACAACACACACAAGTAACACACATACAAGTAACACACACAAGTAACACACACATAGCACACACAACACACACACAAGTATACGTAGCACACACAGCACACACACACACAAGTAACACACACACGTAGCACACACAGCACACACAGCACACACACACAAGTAACACACACACGTAGCACACACAGCATACACAGCACACACACACAAGTAACACACACACGTAGCACACACAGCACACACAGCACACACACACAAGTAACACACACACGTAGCACACACAGCACACGCACACAAGTAACACACAAACACACACAAGTAACACACACACACGTAGCACACACAGCACACACAGCACACACACACAAGTAACGCACATACAAGTAACACACACAAGTAACACACACATAGCACACACAACACACACACACAAGTACACGTAGCACACACAGCACACACACACACAAGTAACACACACACGTAGCACACACAGCACACACACCACACACACACAAGTAACACACACACGTAGCACACACAGCATACACAGCACACACACACAAGTAACACACACACGTAGCACACACAGCACACACAGCACACACACACAAGTAACACACACACGTAGCACACACAGCACACGCACACAAGTAACACACAAACACACACACGTAGCACACACACACACAGGCACGCAGGTTCTCGTCTAGGGCGTCTCACGGTGTCACGTCCATCACCTCACCTGGTCTGACCCCCCCCCCCCGCTCCCCCCCCCCCCCCTCCTGTCACTTATAAAACGCGCGTGTGCTCATAAAACAGCAAGCTTCACCCTCATTGTGTGGGACGTGCAGCCGCGGCACGCGAATGCTCAAACCCAACGCAAAGCATCGTATTACAATTCATCAAATATGAACGCAGCACAGCGGACCTGCATCAAATATATGATTGCAATCGTAATAAATAATGTTACGAGAGAATACTGTGTAGTCAACGTGGACAATTAGAGTACAAAACGACTATGCGTAAAACTGTCCAATCGCCGGTGACATCGAAGACACGTCCCTACGTGCTGCCCGTACACACGATGCCCCGCGTGCAAGTCGCTAAGAACGTGTCGTGAAGCTCAACGCGGCCTTGGTGGCTGTCTTGTACGACGAAGGGCTGAAGCGCATTTCCTTGCGTACACGGCAAGGGACAAAATATCGACGCACCGGCGGCAGTGCGGGGCCTGTAGCGTGATGTTATAACGTGGCCCTAGATCTAAAATAAAAACAGAGAAATATTAAAACGCACTTTTGTTTTTTACTTGCATTGTAAAGTAATTGTGTATTTTTTTGCATTTGCTATACAGACAGATAATACGAAAAATCGCTAACCTTAAACACCCGGTCGTTCGTAAAAGTCGAAGGCGGTATAGTACTATAGTAATAGAGCAAGTGCACAATCACTGAACCGGAATTGATCGCTTGAAAACGTTTAGCGCGGGGCCCTTGAGAGTGCGGGGCCCGTAGCTACATTTGAAGCTACTCTTGCTACTAGGCGGCATTACATCCCTGGCTACCTCCGGTAGGCTCAACACTCCATCCCGTAGCTGCACTGTGCACGCGTTCCCTAACGTAGCAGCAGCAGCAGCCATCATCTATCCACTGCTGGACAAAGGCAACCCCACTCCCCCCGCTCTAATCAGCCCGCATCTCTCACGAGCGATGCAATATGGTGACCATATAGGGCCTCTATCGCTCTCTCCCAATCATACATTATTAAACGTGCACACACACATCATCTTAATAATCTTCAAGAACAAAAGGGACTACAGCCAGTCAACGAAACTAACCAACGCGTGCGATCTTACGCTTTGGGTCTTTCGGTAAAGTCACGTAGGTAGGTTCAAAGAAAAATAACAAAAAAATAACAAACAAAAAATAACTGAGATTCTGAACCAGACGGGGGAAGGGTGGTGGTGGTGAGTGGTGGGATGAGACGATCGGTGTCTTGCTGTCGTCTCTGTCGCCTGACGCGATGTTGATTCGTGATGTGACGACACGAGATCGACTATCCCCCCCCCTGTCTCCCCCTGCTCCCCCCGCCCCTCGTTGGGATGCGACCTTGAGGCCGCATCCCCAACCAGAGGTCAGGCTGGCCCAGCAGCTACGATGACACATCGGGTTAGTTACAATATTTATTAAAAAACTGCCATTAAAACATGCTCATATGTGGTGTTTTTTTTGTGTTTGATTAATCTGTTAATATATATTTTGTTTCCGCTTTTCAGAGGACGTTTGCAAATGGAAAGTCGAGTGACTGAATTGAGACGACACGTAAGTGATGGATGCTCAAATATGACACATTTGCACTTTGAAAAACAAGTCCTAAATTGTTTTCAAAAAATACTTCGTGCATAAATATTATTCGTGGAAGATCACTTGCCACGTTTGTTGTTAATATCAATTAAATTCCCCTTTATGATTTCTTACAAATAATTATTATAACCCTATATGATCTGATTCTTGGCCCACCCTTTATATATGCATTGGCCGTGCGGTTATACATATTTGGAGAAGTCTGATACAGTATATATATATCCCGGCCTATACTGTGAGTCTGTTAGTGATGTGCAAGTTTACATGCGTGAGTGTGTGCTGCTGCTGTTGCTGTTGCTGCATACATGCGTGTTGTATCTGGAAGCATGTAAATATATGAACTGTACATGCGGTTAGTTTGTGTGCATTGCTATACTGTAAACACAATGTCTGATGTGTGTACGTCGTGTGTTTTGAACATGCATGTATTCAATGTGTTACGTGTAATGCTTTGTAAGGATGTCTGCTCTGTGTATATCGACTATGTATATATGTATGTTGAACTCGGCTTTGTGCGTGGTACAGTGCATTAGTATTCTTTGTATGTTGCAGTCGTGTCGCCTGTGTGTCTGTAGTTTTTGTCCACCGTGCATAATTGCGCAGTGCTCTCAAAAAGGCGCACACTGTGATGACACGTAATGGTCTGTTTTATAATAATACTATAACATTATGAAATTGTTATATATATATATATACACGCGCGCGCACGCAAACACTTACACGTGCATTTACAAATTGACCGACCGAGGTAGGTAACTTATAATCACAGTATTATATAAAAAAAATATTATAACATCAAACGTAAGCACGCTTATTGTTGCAAGTTATTTGGTGAAGAATGCTGCATTGGCAGATGTGCAAAAGCACAATTATACAACAGTGCGTGGCCTTGAACGAATACAACAACAAAATATATATAATCGGCGACGTTTCTTCACGGCATGTGAAGGCCCATTTCCCGAAACGTCTCCGATTACACACAATTGTTGAGGGCGTCAGTGTTGTTGACGCGTGTGTTGTTTAGATTGCAGTGTGCGATCGGACATCATGTTGTTTTCTATTCTGTATATTTCCCCGGTTAAACGCATACTTTAAAAACTTGTACGACTACAGTAACGCGCCACTGTGTCCCTTACTGCCAGAACAAAATCTGTCCTTGTGACTAAAACAACACACGTGCGTGTATAGACGTGTCGACTTCTATTCTCCGCAAACAAATTGTGATGACTCTCAAAGGAAATTTGTTTTGTTTTGGGGCGGGGGGGAGGGGGTGAAGGTTTTTATTTTCATCCCAAAAAAGAATAAATCTGGCCGGACGTCAACCGAGCGACGATGCCCTTCGCCGCTTTAAGTTTCGCGATGCGGTCATCGATCACGGCGTTGGTACAACGACAACGCGTGGCCTAACGATGGGACTGCGACTCGGACGGTGGCGCGAACGGCGAAGCGTGTTTGTCTTTCCTAAAAATATTTTTAAAAAAAATATTTCCGCGCAAATCGCGTTAAAAGTAATTTAACTCGTTCGTTCGTGGTCCGTTCATTAATTCATTCGCCGAGAGGACAAGCCAAGTGGACAATCGCCCTCCAAACGATTACGCGACTGTGTACCCCCAACGACATTTATCGTAATCATATTTGGTTATATCCATAACACAGATTTTTGCTATGTATATATCAAAGCGGCCTTCATGCTAATTGAATCTCACAACGTCTGAACATGTTTTTTTGAACGCGCGCATTGCCATCACGAAATCCAAACAATGACGGACATCATTAAATAGAAACAAACCCCATAACGATAACAGCACCTCCACAGATCAACAGAACCAAGAGACCACCAACAACACCGCAGGGGAGAGAACAAAGCATCAGAGACTCAAATCGAACCCTCGAGTGGAGGAGGAGATGTCCCTGGCTCGCTCGTGCGTCGCTGGTGGAGCAAGATGCGCGCGTGTGTGTCTGTGTCTGCGTGTCTGTGTGTGTCGTCTGCGTGTCTGTGTGTGTCGTCTGCGTGTCTGTGTGTGTCTGTGTGTCGTCTGTGTGTGTCGTCTGTGTGTGTGTCTGTGTGTGTGTGTCTTCTGCGTGTCTGTGTGTGTCGTCTGTGTGTGTCGCCTGTGTGTGTGTCTGTGTCTGTGTGTCTTCTGCGTGTCTGTGTGTGTCTGTGTCTGTGTGTCTTCTGCGTGTCTGTGTGTGTCTGTGTCTGTGTGTCTTCTGCGTGTCTGTGTGTGTCGTCTGCGTGTGTGTCTGTGTGTGTGTGTCTTCTGCGTGTCTGTGTGTGTCGTCTGTGTGTGTGTCTGTGTCTGCGTGTCTTCTGTGTGTCTGTGTGTGCCGTCTGTGTGTGTGTCTCTGTCTGTGTGTCTTCTGCGTTTCTGTGTGTGTCATCTGTGTGTGTGTCTGTGTCTGTGTGTGTCGTCGTCTGCGCGTGTGTCTGTGTGTGTCGTATGGGGAGCGGTAACGTAGTCATCAAAGCGCTGCGCTACGAACCTTTACGAACCAAGTTCGATTCCCGCTCGCGGACAACATCAGTGACGGCCATCTGAAGCGGTCCTGGGCCTCCCCGAGGTCGACTCAGCCTCAAAGAGGACCTAGTGGCGATGCGTGTGTGTAAAACGTCGCGACATCGGGGAGACAAAGGCGGCCGGGTGTGCTTGCTGGCCAACCCACCAACCCCCTCGTGCTCGCTTAACAGCACGAGCTCTAACAACAACATTCCGTCAAGGCCATACGGGGGGGCGGTAGATCTTTGTCTTTGCGTGTCGTGTGTGTGATGTGTCCGTGCAAAACCAACGACGCACACACACACGCGCGTGGTGCCCTACTTACTGGGATCGATGTGCACCTTGTCGTCGCTCTTCTCGGAGTCCACCTCCGACTTGTCCGCGCACGGGAACGCGGGCACCTCGGGCGGCTTCTCTCGGCGCTCCGCGGGCGCCTCGGCCGGGAACTCGGCGCGCGTCGCAGCAGACGACGACGCGCCGGGCGACACATCGAACGCGGCAGAGTCTGACCGCTCACCCCTCCTCGCCGCCTGCCGATGCTGCTGCTGCTGTTGCAGCAGCTGTTGCTGCTGCTGCTGCAAAGGCTCGAGTTTGTAATCGTAGGAGGGTCTGACGCCACCGCCGCCGCAGAACCCCGAGAATGCCACGGGCTCGAGCCAAGAGCGCACGAAGCGTCCGCCCTCGTCGGCGAGGTGCGGCTGCCCCACGTAGGCCGCGTGCGGGTGGAAGACCCCGCCGGGCTGCGGCTGCTGCTGCTGCGTGTGGATGGGCGACCATGCGGAGGGGGAGACGAACACGGAGCCCTTGGGCTGGAAGCTGCACGAGGGGAAGTCGGGGTGCTCGCTCAGCTGCACGGGGGCGGCGGGTCTGCCCGCCTGCGGGTGGGGCGCGCCGCCTCCACCACCGCCACCACCACCACCACCGCCACCACCGCCCGTGTACCGCGAGGCCGCCGCTGCTGCTGCTGCGGCCGCGGCGGAGGAGGCGGCGCTCATCATTCCGTCCGCCGCATCGCCGCCGATGAGCGAGTAAACGTAGTAGGTGCCGAGGGTCCCCGAGCTCGACATGGAGACCGCGCGGGTCGCCGCCTCGCGTCTCCGCGCTGCAGTCTGATTCACCCCCCCACTACCCCCCCCCACTACTCCACCCCCCCTCCCCCCCCCCAACGACTCCACACACCCCTTCCCTGCCTCCTCCTCCACCACTAACGCCAATGCCTCCCCTGCCCCCGGCACACTCCCCACTCCCCTTGTCCCTTCTCGCTTCGTTCACTCAGAGGGAGGGGATGGGGGTGGGGATCGCCGCTGTCTCGCTCCGAGCCGCTGTGATCGCGGTCTCTCCTCTTTGCACTGTGCCCACGATCACCAACCCAAAGCTGTGGGGGGGCTGGTGGGGGGTGCTGGTGGGGGGGGGGGGGGTGCTGGTGGGGGGGGGTGCTGGTGGGGGGGGGTAATATCACTCCGCCGGTGGAGAGAGGGGGGGGGTGTTCGGGCTGAGTGTCCGAAGTGGTACTCAGCAAGAGACATTTGATGATTTTGACGTACAGCCCGTAACAGACTGCTGGGTAAAGTGCTGTGAGCGAGCAATCTACAAAAGGCCGGTACAGCACACGAGAGGGTGGGTGGCCAGCACAACGCCCGGCCGCCTTTGTCTCCCCAGTGACGCTGTTTACAACACCACACCGAGTACTCATTTGAGGCTGAGTCGACCTAGCGGAGGCCCGGGGACGGTTAAAATAAATTAATCGTCGCTGGTGTTGGCCGTGATCGGGAATCGAACTCGGAGCGCGCTGACCGCTACACTACCGCTCCCCCCCATGAACACGTACACATGCACTCGCACACGCGAAGTCTGTGCGCGCTTGTGGCATGCGCGGCGTTTGTTCCAAAGCGGCGGTGCACAAGGCACGAGGAGCACTTGCAAATAGCCCGCTTGGAGGAGGGTCACGTTGAGGTTTTGTATCTGTCGGTTTTTTTTTCCTGCAGTCTTGAGCGGCTGCTGCAGCTGCTGCTGCTGTTGTTGTTGTTGTGTGCGCGTGTGTGGCCTTTATGGGCGCTACTCGCTAACAACACTTGCCCCAATAGTCTATGAAGGCTATATGGGGGCATTTTGTATTGGTCTTTGTTGTTGTTGTTGTTAATATTGTTGTTGTTGTTGTGTCTGTTTCCTTTTGTAAAAGCTACGCAAATGTAATATAAATTATTTACACCTTCAAATAATTATGCCACTTGAACACAGATGAAATGGCATGCAGATATTGATCTTTTAAAATGCTGCAATGAAGCTACGCAACGATATATTAAACATGTTACGCGCATCTTATTATGATCCTCGAGTGAATACAAAGCCTGCACAGGCTTCTGGGGCAAGTGGTGAAGGCGATGTTTATGACACACACTGCACTCGGGCTCAACGATTTGGGGAAATATTTTATTGCGATTTTTTTCTGACAGATATTGCGATTTGATCTGCGATCATTTTTTTAAGAGTAAAGCTTCAGCTCAATATTCACTGTGTAATAGATGTAAAACATGTAATGGAGCATTACCACGTGATACCATCAACATATGAACTGCTCTAGATATTATAATGCAAGGATGAGAACTTAAAATATATGAATTGCTTCCAACATGTTTTAATTAAAACGATTTAATTGAAATAGAACACACATTTAACATTTGTTAGGTTAAACAAATAAAGTTATAATAAAAATAATAAAATATCAATAAGAAAGTATTAGGACTTTTCAAATCGCAACCTTTGCAATTTCAAAATTGCATTGTTTCAAATTGCGATTTCGATTTGAAATCGATCAATCGTTCAGCCCTACACTGCGCCAGGGTACTCATTTGAGGCTGAGTCGACTTAGGTGGAGGCCCAGAACCGGTTCAATATAATCGTCACCGGTCTTGGCCGTGAGCGGGAATCGAACTCGGGTCGCCCGTTTCGTAGCGCAGTTCACTAACCGCTACACGACCGCTCCCCACAATACAAACAAAGACAAAGATCCCCCATATAGCCTTAACAGACTGTTGGGGCAAGTGCTGTTAGCGAGCACCTATGAAGGCCGCCACGACAGACAAGGGGGTGGGTTGGCCAACACCACGCCCGGCCGCCTTTGTCTCCCCAACGTTGATGTTTACACACCGGACCAGCTACTCATTTGAGGCTAAGTCGACCTAGGGTAGCCCAGAACCGGCTCAAGATAATCGTCACTGGGTGTTGGCCGTGAGCGGGAATCGAACTCGGCTCGCCGGATTCGTAGCACAGTGCGCTAACCGCTACCCCACCGCTTCCCACAACGCATAACACACACAGACACACACACAGACACACACACAGACACACACAGACAGACAGACACACACACACAGACACACAAACACACACACAGACAGAAAGACACACACATACACACACAGACACACAGACAGACACACACACACAGACACACAGACACACACAGACACACACACAGACACACACAGACAGACACACACACACACAGACACACGCACACACAGACACACACTCGTGCTGCTTAACCATTGAGTGGCCCGCTGTGCTGTCACACGTGCCCCCCCCTCCCCACGTGAGCAACAACCATTGCCAGTGAACAGCTCTCGACCCCATCACACAACTGCGGACGGCCGAGCCGACTTTCAAATATAACCCTCGCAGACGGCGCTTGCGTAACACAAGTTGCCTGCCTCATCCGCGTGTGTCGTGGTGGTCAGGAAATGAGATAATGTAGAGCCTTGTAAATCCGAACCGACCGCATCTTCGCCTTCTGGCACGAGTGCGCGCGTGTGTGTGTGCGTGTGTGTGTGTGCGTGTGTGTGTGCGTGTGTGCGTGCGTGTGTGTGTGTGCGTGTGTGTGTGCGTGTGTGTGCGTGCGTGTGTGTGCGTGCGTGTGTGTGTGCGTGCGTGCGTGTGTGCGTGCGTGTGTGTGTGTGTGTGTGCGTGTGTGCGTGCGTGTGTGCGTGCGGTCGTGTCGTCATAGTAGTGGTAGGGGGAGCGGTAGTGTAGCGGTTAGCGCACACACCCGGCGACCCGCTCAAGTACCCACTGACGAGTATCCAATACCGGTCCTGGGCCTACGCCAGACCCAACTCATCGCCATTATAGAGAGACAAAGGTGGCGGGACGTGGTGCCGGCTAACCCCCCCCCCCCCTCACCTCGTGTGCAGTGCCGACCTTCATGGGTGCTACTCGCTAGCAGCACTTGCCCCAGCAGTCTGTTGAGGCTACAACGCGAGGGGGGAATCTTTGTCTTTGTGTGCGAGACGACGTGCACGAGGCTGCTTTTTTGATTGCCGTTGAATTCCCAACGGGGGTCTCCCTCACTCGCTGTCTACAGCCACGTCTGCAAGTTTTAAATCAAGAGCATGACGCTGATATGAAGTGAATACATGTTTTCGTGCGTAAATTCGCGAGTGTATACGGCACTGCATACCGTACCACCGAAGGTGTTCCTGAACACAGGCCCGCTCCACACTCGCCGATAACGCAACGCCATCAGCTCGCCAGACGTTGTTGTTGTTGTTGTTTTTTGCGTTACGACTTGCGTTGGCAGTCGCGGTGCGTGATGACCCCACACATTATTTCAACGAAGACGGGGGGAGGGGGGGGTCCATTGTCCGAAACGTCGCCTATTATATATATTAAAAAAAACACATTTCAAGGCAGTATTTGTTGACGGACGTGTATCAGCTCACACACCGCGAGAAAGCGAGAGATATTTCCACAGCGAGAGCTAAAAGCTACGATCAAGAGCAGCAGATGCCGTGGGGGTCGAGTGGCATGCCGACTCTTTGCTGTGTGTGTGTCTGTGCGGATCGACGGCGCTAGCCTGGCGGTTAGCGCACTGCGCTACTACGAACCCGGCGACCAGAGATCAATTCTCGCTCACGGCCACCAACACCGTTGACTATTTTCCGAACTGCTCTTGTGCCTCCCCTAGGCCGACTCAGCCTCAAATGAGTACCTCGGTGCCTGGTGTGTATAAACGTCGCCCACTGGGGAGACAAAGGCGGCCGGGGGCGGCGCTGCCCACCCACGCACCCCCTCGTGTGTCACATTGGCGGCCTCCATAGGTGCTGTTCGCTGACGGCACTTGCCCCGATGGCCTGCCGAGGCTACACGGGGGATCTTTGCCGTGACGAGCACCACGAGGCGCCTCGCGTTGTGGTTCGCGAGGCGAGGCGCCTCGTGCGGAGCAGGCGGCAGGCCGCGTGTAAAACCAGCGCACGAGTCCGCGCGAGGAATGGAATCGTCGTCCCCATGAACACCACGGAAGCCACGGGAACGGGGGGCTCCGTCCCACCCACCACCACCACCACTACTACCACCACCACTACCACCACTACCACCACTACCACTACCACCACCACTACCACCACCACTCACACCACCACTCACACCACCACTACCACCACCACTCACACCACCACCACTACCACCACTACCACCACTACCACCACTACTACCACCACCACTACCACCACCACTCACACCACCACTACCACTACCACCACTACCACCACCACTACCACCACTCACACCACCACTCACACCACCACTACCACCACTACCACCACCACCACTCACACCACCACTACCACCACTACCATCACTACCACCACTGACACCACCACTACTACTACCACCACTACCGCTCACACCACCAGTACTACCACTCACACCACCACTACTACCACCACCACAACTACCGCTCACACCACCACTACTACCACTCACACCACCACTACCGCTCACACCACTACTACCATCACTACCACCGCTCACACCACCGCTCACACCACCACTCACACCACCGCTCACACCACCACTCACACCACCACCACTACCACCACCACCACCACTCATACCTCTACTACCATCACTACCACCACTCACACCACCACTCACACCAACCACTACCACCATCACCTTCCTTCCCGCACGCCCTGCTGTTCATAACGTGTCCGGCTCCGTGGTGGTGGTGTAAGTGCTGTCTGTGGTGGTGGTGGTGGTAGTGTTGTGAGTGGTGGTGGTGAAGGTGCTGTCTGTGGTGGTGGT